AGTGTCTGAGATCTGCAGAGCCGCTACAGGTCCTCAGTACATATCGTCTCCAGACACTATGCCTTAGTTGATTCCTCTAGATCTGAAGTGGGGGAGTTGGCAATGCAGTTCTTTTGCTATGTTTTGGACTTTATTCCAAAACTCTGTTTTCCTTATGGGGATCTTGTTCAGGAGTCACCTGAGGTGGAGCATCCATAGGGACACTACTCGAAGAAAAACGGTTACTTATCCTGTGCAGTAATTTTAGTTCTTAGTGGATTTCCCATAGGGGGAGACACCTCTACCAGCCCTCTTTTCCTTCTGATTTGAAGTTTCCTTCTGAGACTTGGCGATGGAGAAGGAACTGAGGGCAGTTTACCCGCACAGCCTGGTGTAGCCTCAGTGCGGAACACGAGGATATCAGCAGTGCGTGCACGGACCAAACTGACACTGCTAATGAAAATCTTTGATCAAAGATGGGTGGGGCACATGCACACCTGAACTGGAGTACCCATAGAGATACACATCTCGAAGAACTGCAGTTACTGCTAAGATGGCCAGTTTTTGGTTGGATGTATTCCTGGAAATTTCTCACATGACATTTTTAATTAAAGATTAATCTTTAATTCCTTGAGACTCCAGGACAATACTGGAGGGTTGGCAACCCTAGTTACTGCACAGGCTGAGTAATCTCACTTTATGATGGGAAAGTGAACAGGTTAAAATAGTACTAAATTTTGTATGCATCCCCTATGTTACCCATAGGGCCTAGTGGTGGGGGGACATTGTAGGGGCCAAGATTAGTTACAGGATACCAAAAAGTGTAAGACATGTTTCCAAAATTTCAGAAAAGGGACAGTTATGAGGGTTCGTAACGAAGTCTAGGAGTGCTTGTCAGTATTCCCGGTACTATCAACAATTCAAGGGGAGTATTTCTAATTCTGTTTTTAGGGGCTTTTGAATGTTTAGTTTTGTGAGCTACGGAGAGGGTTTAAGGGCTAGTTAAAGCCAGACGTTTTACACAATGCTTTCAGGGTTGCTGCTGTTCCACTGTAATACCTGGCATGCAGCTTCTTTTGCTGAATACACACCACTTGTTCGTTTTTTTTAGTTGGTCTCATATTAATGTATTAAGTTTTGCATTAATGTATAAAATATAATTCAACATAAAAAAACTTCTTGATTACTCTATTGTATAGCATCTGTAAAAGCTAATTTACTGTTCTGTTGTGCCAGTTTTACTGTGTATAGGAAAAAGTGTAACAAGCTATCTTTCAATCCATTCTCTATTAATTGTGTGATATCGTAATCATTGGACTAGAAGGGATCTTGGTAATATTTGTAACTATTCCAGAAGAACTTCATGGTGTAAACAGTTCTTAATTCATAGTCCTCTAGTGGTGTGCTGGTTCACATAAATATCTTTGAAATATTTGTCTTTGATTGTTGAAATGTGAAAGGAAAATGAATTAATAATTCTGAACCCACTTCCTACTGCGTGGAAAAATCCACAACAAAACATTCTCTGGAATGGATGTAGTTCACAGCAAATTATAGCTCTGATAAAAGTAGCAAGTTAGAGAAAATAAGAAATTTGTCTGGTTTGTTGCTTTTCCTTTTTCAGTCTCCTTGCATATAATAATTCACTATCTACTTTTGTTAACCTGTTGCAATCTCAAACAATTTGTATGTTTTATATTTAGTTTTTAAGCAATCTTATTTTAATTACTTTTTTCTTGTAAGATGTACTTTCCCTCCACTAAGTGACCCTGTCAAACAGCTTAGGCCCCTACTACTAAATCTATTAAAATTTAGAATTGTGGGATGATTCCTTTAGATTTTAAATATGATTTAAAAAAAGCTTAGCTATAATCCTAGTTGAGGCTTTAAAGAGATGCTGCTGCGTAAGGAAACCACAAAAGTGCTATTACACTCTGAAAACTGGCACTGAGGGTGGTTCTCTTTTTCCTCTGTGACCTAAAAAAAAATCTATTTTACTCAATTTATGAGTAAAAAGATGTCTTTCCCCTCCCCCCCCCCAACTGCCAGCTCTGCAAACTTTATCTGAAACCTGAAAGTCAAGCTTTAGTCTTTGTGGCTATCATACATCACCAATAATAAAAGTTTTGCATATGAAACTTAGTCAACAATTTGGATGTGTGAACTGGAAAAGAATTAGCTTATTTTTGCCAAAATGTATTGGCTCTGCAATACTAACAGAAGTAAAACCTTAATTTAAAAAAAAAATTTGAGTCATTAAGATAAGTACATAGGATCTGAATACCTGGACAGAGAAGATCTGTTTAGTAAAAAGGAAGCTTTTTTTGGATAGTTGGTTTTCTGTTTGATGTCACACACTAAAATATTCTTTTGTATTAATTTGCTGGCCTTGAAGCAATATTTAATGCTAGTATTGCCAGAGCTGTATTGGACTAGTATGTTGAGTTGTGGGGTTTTTGATGAAAAATCCCCTTTAGTGTTTAAATGTTACAGAGACAAGTTTCTCATCTGTTGCTTACTCTTGAGGGGTGCTCTGCAGCTGCTGTTTTCACTCCAAAGCCACCTGTTGCCTTCCTTTGTCATCACTGTACAGCAATATACATTGCAGCTACAGACATCAGGAAAAGGAAGAGACTACATGTGTTCTAGGTAGATAGAGATCATCTCCCTTCCTTGTTCACCCTGGGAAAGGGGGTGAAGAAACCATGCTCCCAGCAGGGCCTGTGAAAGGGAGCAATATGAAGTATTTCCCTGTGCACTTTCATAGGGTCTTTGGGGAGGGGGTTAAGAATCTCATGGCAAGATGCCCTCCCTTCTAGGATTACCAACATTGTATTTCAAAAATACAGGACTGTTTTTTTTAGTACGCCTATGGGGGAGGAGTACCCTGTACCCATGGGGGCCAGGGGTGGGATGCCCAGAACCACAGAAGATGGGGAGAACTAACCATGTGGCAGTTGAGGAACCCTTCTGCGCCCTGACGCAGTCAGACTGTCTTGGCTGCTGGGGTCCAGCTCCGGAATTGAACAAGGGAGCACTGAAGGGGCAAGATTGGGAGGGGAGCAGAAGATGCATTTGTGAGTAATGGCCCCCTGCTGGACAGGGCTCCCTGCTGACTCCAGCCCTTGAGTGTCTCCCTGTCTGCTGTCACTGCCGGCTCTGTCTAGCAGGGCAAGTGGATGGGGCTGTGTGCCCTGGAGCTGTGCTGAAGGGCCAGGGTCAGGAAGGGGCTCTGTCTGGCAGGGGGGTCAGTACTTGCGGGATGTAACTTTCCATTTCCCGCTCACAGAGTCTCTGCCAGCACCCCCAGGAGGGGAACATAATTGCTGGTTGGTGGCAGCTGCAGCAGTGGAGGAGCGAGGCGGGCAGGGAGCCTGGTTCTGGCAGCTAAGGCCATCTGCACAGAGCCCTGTCTGCTTTTCCGGCTGGACAGAGCTCCCTCCTGACTCCAGCCTCTCAGTGCCGCTCCATCAGGTCTTTGTGCCCCCCAATAACCTAATTGCCTCCACCCCCCCAGTGGGCCACGCCCCATAGTTTGGGAACCTCTGCACTGTAGGTACATCGGTTCAGTAAATCATGGGACTGATTCTGCATTACTAAATTGTCTAATTTTGCAAACTTTGTATCACTGGAAGGTAAGGTAATATTAAAAATATCATTATGCAAACCAGTTTTTATTATGTTGAAATACGGGATAAAAGGTGTCCCGTACTTATTTAGTATGGGACAGGCAATTTTCTATTTAAATAATGCACGTCCTGACTGTTCACAGCCCTACTTGAGGCCTAAGCAGGTGGTTAAGCTCCTCCTGCAGAGCATCCTTTTTCCTCACTCTCCACTTCGTGTTTTATGCCGGTAGAATTGATATGCATCCACAAAGCACATCTTCCATCCCCAATTACCTTTAGCAATAAATCCTTTCCCTCAGTATCTGTGTTTAGCTTCTCTTAAAAGCCATAAAGCATAAGTCACTGGTACTTGACTATGTTCCTCTTCACCCTTTTTCTAGGGGAAAACACACGGCTCTTCACCTTCCTCTCCAGCCATGGATGTAGGGTGAAGCTGGGGCATCTTTAATCCAGCCCCCCTCCCCCCATATCTTTTAGAGAAGAGGAGGATTTGAGTGTACTTCTCCTTCCTTCTTAAGCGTTAGGTGTGTGTGTGTAGGTGGAGGGGGAGGGAGGGAGGGAGTGTGGCTTGCTGGGTTTTTTCAGATCCCCTCTCTGCAAACCTGATGGGTGAGCTATTGGAAACTTCTTCCCTGTCCTTTAAGCTTTGATGGGGGGAGTGGTCAGAGAGGGCTTGAACATTGAGCTGGTGGGAGGAATCACACTACCTAGGGCCCAGGCAACTTATTTCCTTTCCCAGAATCAATGCCTGCAGTGCATTTTGGTCTTTCCTTGGTGATGGTGTCTCACCAAAAAGAGGCAGTAGCTGAAGGTTTCTAGGCAGAGGAGGCTACAGGGGTCAGTAGTTAAAAAAATGTAAGCACCACAAAGAAAGAATTTAAAGTGGTCATTTCTGCTTCAAATATTAAGCTTCAGGCCTTCTCTGTTTAAACCTTTTTTCTTTCTGTGTTTCCTTCTTATTTTTTTCTGTGTTCCCCCGCCACTATAACCAAACTCCTTACCCTAGCAATTACTTCATCATGGATTATGCTAAAACTACAAGACTCTTTTGTAACTGAGCCGTTTGACAATTTATCTTTATGTAAATATGGTACTACAGGCTGGAATGTTAGGTTTTTAAGGTGAGCATGTTTTTTTAAAGAAAAACCAAGGTATAAAAATTGTAAAACCAAAACCAAAAAATTGACACAGACTTTAAAACAGCTTAGGAGGATTCCTAATGCTTATTAAAGTTTAGCACTGCAAAATAGCCCACAGTATGATAGGTTTGAGCATTTAAATGTGTGCTACACAATAATGTTTAAAACTAACCCTTTTTCTGATGGGGTGAAATCTTTAGATAGGACCATTTAAACTTAGATTTTATGCCATGTATTCTTATTTTTAACTTAGGTTGGTTGAAGACTTTTGATGACTACTTCAGAGATCAGACACAACATATTCTAAACAACATGGTGGTAAAACTGCAAGAAGACAACAAGAGGAAGTTCATGTGGTCTGAAATCTCTTACTTTTCAAAGTGGTGGGATGGAATAGATAGCCAAAAAAAGGATGCTGTTAAAAGGTTTGAACATCTGTATTATTTGCTGATATATACTATATTTGTACAGTTTTGTAACTCTTAATGATGCGCTTAAATATATGTAAACTTGGAGCTTCATTGCTAGAAGTATACATTTCTTAAAGTTATCTTATTTTTAATATTATGCTGGATGATGGTGGTTATACTTACATTTTTTCATAATTTTTAATAAGGTTTTTTTCAGGGAATTGGAGGCAGGCTGCATATAAGACAACTGCATTTGGCAAAGAACCAAATAAAAATATCTGTGTACATATATTAGGATCAAATAGCAGCTGCTCCATAGTTCAAGTTGCAATTAAGTCTTCATTTTAAGCCTAACTTATACTTCCCATCCCCAACACATAAAAAAGTTACGTTGGCCTCAGCATTGATAAGTTGGGCCTGAAGCTAAGGTAGAATCTTTCTGTAAACTATGTGCATATGAGAATGGGTTCCTTGATTAGGACATCTAGGAATTGAGGTGTTCATCAGATTTAAAAAAAAAAAATCCTTGATGTTTTTGACAACACTCTGTAGCAATAAAAAAATATTGTCCTTCTTAGATGAACTCTAGTGCAAGGACTACTTTTTTATTTGAGAACAATCAAATTTAGAGAAAGTATCAACATTTTTATTAATGACAATAGGGTAATCTCTTACAGTGTTCTTAAGCGACCCTTAACAAAAGAAAAGGGGGGGAGGGAAGCAAGCCTCTCTCCATTTAATTTGTGGGGATAGTCCTGAAAATGTAAACTGATCACTTGAGGGGCTTCTAAATAGAATAAGAACTTTCCACCAAAATTAAAGTTCTCAAATGAGTTGGTTTGCTCCATCTATCTTGAGAATGTAGAGTAGAAGATTAAGTTTAAGAGATTTCCCCATTATTGCCAACCCAAAGTGATCAAAAAGCATGAGTCATGTTCTCCTCCAAAATTATGATTGGTTTAAAAATCATGAGACTAAAAAAAGGGGGGGAAGTATTTGTCTTCTGTTTTTTAACCCGAAAAGGTGCATTTTTCACATTTTCAAACTTCTTTACAAAGATGTGGGCTAGAAACTTAAATAAATAAATCTGATATTCTCATGTAATCATAAAACTCCAAGAGCTGGGACTCTGATAAAAAGAACAAATATCAAGACTCTCATTAAAATCACAAGAGTTGGCAACATTATTTATGTATTTCATGGTGGGATGTGAACCAGGGGATGGGCTGGAAGGTGCCACCTCACACTGCTGTGTTTCCTGTCCCCAGTCTCCAGATAAACCCAGTATTCCCCTTATGTAGAGCTCTTAAGATGCTGACTTCCTATGGATCTTATTAGGTCTGTGAGAATTGCACATATTGTTAGGATTTGTCTTGTGGAACTTAGTAGGGGGTGTGAATGGTGATGGCAGATTATGTGGTGAGGGGCAGTGGAGAAAGAGAGGAAAGTGAGTAAAATAGCAATAGGAGCTGCAGAAGTAAGAGGTCTACTTATTTCAGTATTATAGTAGTCTCTTAAATTAGCATTACAAATATTTTTTCTATATCCATTCACTGCATATTCTTGCCTTAGTCACTGCATCTGGTTTAATGTTAGTACTGAATTTGCCCAGGCAATTTTACTTGGGCAATTTCTGACTTGACTGGGTTTTTATGGAATTAATTTATAATTCAGACATTACTGCCTTTGGAAATTCTGAAAGTTGATTAAAAACTCTTGATTGAAAGTGAAATTCAGGGAGCGATAGTGATGGGCGACCCATTTCCACCCCTCTTGTGCCATTCCTAAGCTCACTCCTCATTCCTTCCTTCCCTTCTCTTGTTGTGTCTGGAATGCCCATTCTATATCTGTTTAAACAAACAAACAAAAAACCACCCAAAGCTGTTCATGACCGCTTCATATCTCTCTCTTTCCAGCTCTTGGCTATGAGAGACCTGGATCCCTCTATCTGACCTCGCCTATGCAACTACCCTCTTTTATGGAGGCATCACCTTCTCTTACATTCTCTTCTCTGGACCAGACTCTCCTCTTTTGAACAGTACTGCCTCCGACTCTCCTCTCCTTTCTTCCTCCATGTTCCTGTTATCTACTGTCCACCCAACTCCTCCCCCATCAGTCTTCCTCTTTGATTTAGACTCCTGGCTCTCTTCCTGTCCTCAGTCCCCTACATTAATCCTTCAGCTTCCATGCTGATCGCCCATCTGACCCCTTAGATTCATATTTCCTTGTCCTCACTTCTTCATTTGACCTGAAGCCCTGATTCAACTCTTCCACTCACCAAAAGGGCCATTCAGTTTATTTGGTCTTCACCAAACACAGCACTCTCTCCAATTTCTCTGTTGCTGAATGCTCCATCTTGGACCATCGTTGGATCTTTCACCCTCTCCCATCAACTCCCCCCCGCCCCCCCTCCGGACCTGTCACTCAGCCTGTCCATGACTTCCAGTCCCTCAGCATTGTAGACTTCTAATCTGCTCTCAGCCCTATCCTCCCCACCCTCTGTCCTTTCTTCTATTGATATGGTTGTTGATTCTCTCCATGCTTCACTATCCTCCACCCTTGACTTTTTTGGGCCTCTCTTCTGCTCCTGCTCTTGCTCCACGTTGCTTCTCTGATGGAAATCCTGTGACCAGGCTGGCTTCCTCCGCTACAAATTCATTCACTCTTATTTCAGTTAAGCCATCTTCTGAGCTGAGCAACACTGTTTCTAACTTGAGTGAATCTCATGTCCTCAATCCCAGCCATCTTTTCTGAACCCTTTACGCACTCGCCACTCCCTCTCCTCTTCCTGCCGTCACTTCTCCCTTCATACAGGATCTCACTGATTTCCTGCAAGAGAAAACACAAACTATTAAATGACCTTCCCCCTCAGCTTGCCTTTCCTTTCCCTCCTACAATTGTCTCCTGCTTCTCTTAGCACACAAGTTTCTCACCTTTTCTCTATCTCTAACCCATTCTCTTCCCCCCCGCCCCCAGTAACTACACCCCATCCCATCTTTTGATCTCCCTCATGCCCACTCATATCTCCTCCTTTACTTTTCTCTTTCTTAATCTCTCTCTGCTCTGGATCTTTCCTCTCACAATAAAATCATGCTTTGTATTGTCCATCTTAAAAAAATAAATAAAACAACCCATCCTTGATCTCACTTGCTTCTCTGGCTACTGCCCCTTCTCCCTTTGATTTCTGAGATTGTTGAATGAGCTGCTTACAGATGCTGTCTGAAGTTCCTCTCCTCCAATTCTATTCTAGACCTTTTTTCAGTCTGGCTTCCACTCTTGTGCTCCACTGAAACCACTCTTGCCAAAATCGTCAATGATTTCTTCCTAGTCAAAACTCCCCAGTACTCCATCCTCAGCCTCCTTCACCTGTCAGCTGACTTCAATAACATTGACCATGCTCTTTTTGAAATCTTGTCCTCTTGATTTCTATGACTATCCTTTCCTGGTTCTCTTCCTAATTCTCTAATCACTCCTTAAACATGTTCTTTAAATGATCCTCATTCCCCCCCCAACTTTCTGTGGGGTTTCCACAGGCCTCTGTCATTTGCCCCCTTCTCTTCTTCCTCTACACCTTATTTTTAAGTAATCTCATTTACAAACACAAATTCAACTGCCATCTGTTGCTGACAACTCAGAGTGCTACCGCTCTACTCCAAACCTGTGTTCTTCTGTTCAAACTAAAATCTTGACCTGTATTTCTGACATATCCTAGTGGATTTCTAGCACTCATCTTAAGCTCAATAAGTCTAAAACAGAGCTCTTAATCTTCCCCTGCAAGTCCTCTTTCAATTGCTGAACGGCACCAACATCCTGCCTGCTACTCAGGGCCTTAACTTGGGTGTTGTTTATGACTTGGACCTCTCCTTTGGCTCCTCATGTTCAGACTGTCTAAATCTTGCTGATTCTTTCTGCATAATATTTCTAAGATACCGCCTTTCTTATCCAACTATTGAACTAAAACTGTTGTCCCAGTTCTCATCATCTCATGTCTGTTACTGCAGTATCCTTTTCTTTAGCCTTGACAAATGCAATCTTGACCCTCTCATATCCATTTAGAATGCTGCTGCAAAGATGATTTTCCTAGCTTTTTGCTTTGACCATGTCATTCTCTTCTCATCCCTCTACCGGCTTGCCCCCTCTATCATATCAAATGTAAGCTACTTGTCTTCACTTTCAAGGCCCTTCACAGCCTATCTCCACCCTACCTATCATCTCACATTCTGTATTGATACGTTGACTCCTGCCTTCATCGGCCACTTGTTAAATTTTCAAATAAGCACCTTTGTGATTTCACCCATGCTGACCTTCATGCTTGGGAAGAGCATCTTATAAACATCTTCACAGCTACTTTGGTATCCTCCTTCAAAACCCCTCTTTTAAAACTCTTCTGTAAAACCTCTAGAAGGTTAACTGTTAGGCCATTTGTGTGCTGAGACCATTGCCAATCAGCTTAGTTAATACTGCTTCTTCTTCAAGTAGATGCAGCTGTGTATTCCACATAAGAGCTGGAGAATTTTGCCTAGCAGTACACGTAGGGACAGTATTCATGCCTTGTGGGTGTAGCCCACCCTCTGGCTATATGAGGCGGTGCCACTCCAACCCCCCCCTCGGTTCCTTCTCACCGCCCATAACTGGAGTTGGAGCTCAGTGGTTATCACTTCACATTCACTTATCTGTTTTCTGAGAATTACCCTTCCATGTACTGTATATAGTTTTTATGTAGTTAGTAGTATTCTAGATAGTGTTAGGATACTTATTGCCCTGTGTGATGCCCTCACTAGGGTTCAAATACTACCTGTAGAGTGAGTGTGAGTATAGCGATTCCTAATAGTGATCCCTACATGAGGTGCTGGCAGTGTTCAGGCAAGGGGCGTACTAAGGAGCGGTGCTCTTATATTTAAGTTGTTCACCAAAAGAACCCAGGTGGTCAGTGAATTACGCTTGAAGCAGCACCTTTCTGAGCAGGCTATGAGGCCTCGACTCTCCACTTGTCCAAGACTTTGCCATGGTTGTGGCCTCCACTGCCATGATACTCAATATGCAGAAGCTCAGAAACTACCCAGTTCTGCCACCTCTATTCCTAGTGACTAGGGACCAAATTTTTAAAATGTATTTTAAGTATCTAACAATGCAGATAGGCATTTAGTGGAATTTTCAAAAACACCTAGGTGAAATAATTGAAATCAACCTATCTGCATTTTTAGTTTCCTAAATACCTTTTAAAATTTGGCTCTAGTACCTTACTATGCAAGTGGTGCCACAGGACCCTCTGTTGCTTTTTACAGATTCAGACTAACACAGTTACCCCTCTGATTCTGAATCAATGAGATTTTTTTTACAGAATACAGTACTATTCCATGTGAATAAGGGTGGCAAAATTTGGCCCTACAATTTAAAGTCCATTCACCAAGTGATCTAAAATCCCCTCTGATAAAGCCATTTGGAATAATGTAGCATACTAAAAAATTCAACATTTATGTTTACAAGGAGATAAGAAAAGCTTGTGTCCAAGATTCCATAGTCTCCTTTTAGATTTTTTCATCTACAAAAGTCTGAAGTGAGGGGGTTAGTCCTAGAATATGTGCATAATTACATATCTTTCCCTTTGCTTTGCATGGTAAAACAAGCTAATGGGAAATTTTAAAGTATTGCTGAACTTGCTGACTTATTAGAGTAGACCTCCTGGTAGCCATCTTCTTGCCTGACTAATAGCTGTTCGGCAGTGGGTTGCAGAGGTATTATCCTTTGAATCAAGCTTCTTTCTTTCTGGCTGTGTTTAGAAAGATCCTTGTTGATATTTAATACTTACAGAAATCACATTTTTCTAGGACTTGTTTTGATGTTTTCTCTCTTAATCTGTCTCTCAAATATTTATTACAGTAGTTGTCACTGAGATCATTTTGGGGGGAAGAATGGTTTTAATAGTTTTATAAACCAGTCACATTGGTCAGTTACATTTGTTTTTGCAGCATTTTAGCCGTGTTGGTCCTGGGATGTTAGACAAGGTTGATGAAATATCTTTTATTGGACCAACTTCTTTAGGTGAAAGAAACAAGCTTTCAAGCTTCTTTAGAGGTCTGTTATATTATCAGCCTCACTAAATCTTGACAAGAAAAAATATATAAAAAACAGGATGGCAAGCAAAAACAAAATTACTGTGTGAAATATCTATTACTGTATCTCTGCAAAGAGGAACAAATTAACCTTGTCTTGTTCTGATTAAAAAAACAACACAATTTCATGTACAATTAATATACTCTTTGAAAGGAATTGTACTATATTTCTAGTGGAACTCAGTACCCATGTTGTGTATGAATTGTTAAGCACTGATCTTCATGGCTTAAAAGTAGCGTGAATTAGCTATGAAAGTTAAAAATGGTCAGAGTGCTTTGAGACCATCTATTTTTTTAGGTCTTGCTATTTATATATGTGTATATAGTGTTTAAAAATATTTTCTAGTGCTTGTAAAGTGCAGAGTCACTTTTATTGTACTTGATCTATAGTAAAGTCAGTCTATACTAAGATTGTTTGTTAGATTGCTAACAACTATCTAGGGTCTCTGTGTTGGTCTCTGTTGTGCAACGGTTTATCTCAAAGACAGCCTTCTCTGATAGCTATGACATTTTGGGGTGCAATTCAGACCAATGAGAGGCTATGTCACCTCTGCCCTGCAATGTTGGATGCTTCACAATGCCTTGCTGCTGTAGCTACCACCTGTGCCACTCCACAAACAGCATGCCTGTCACACCCTGAGTGTCCGTGAATGGCCACAGTTCTTGTTCAGGAACTATGATCCCAGCAGCCTGTCAGCAAACACCAGCCGCACTCTGGCTTCCACCAGCCTTGGTTATTACTTGCAGGGTGACTCCAACATACTCCCAGTCCCGAATTTTCCCCTAAAAATATGTGTTCTGTACTTCTCTGCTTTCTCCTGGACTGTTCAGATGTTTTAGCTCCGTTGTTTCTATAAGGGAACAATATACAATAACTTGCCTCCTTAAATAGAGCTACCCAAAACAGTTCACAACACTGGAAGAGTTTTGATTTAAAAAACAAAAAAAGTTTATTTAACCACAAAGAGAGATTTTTAAGTGAATACAAGTATTAAGTCATTAAGATCAGAAATGATTACAAGAAAAATAAAGATGAAATGTTTCCTAGTACTAAACTTAACAAACTAGACTTGGTTTAAGCTGAAGTTCTCATCACAGATTTTTGGTGCATTGCTGACCAAATTCTCAGGCTAGGATCTGCTTGCAAGGTCCAGTGGCGGTTTCTTTTGTCTTCTTGGGTGAAAAGAGAGATGGACAGGAAAAGACAAACTGGATGTTTTTGTCCCCTTGCTTTTATAGTTCAGTCACCCTTTGAAATGTATTTTCCTGAGACTCCTAGATAAAGTTCTTTCCAGCTGAGAGAAAGGATACATGGAGTCTGGTGGGGACGAGGGGTTATACTGTTTCTTTTCACTTGTGTATGATGAAATGCAGATTTTGTTTCTTCCTTTTTCACTCTCTCGTTGTTTGAGGACTCTGTTTATAGCTTGTATGAAAGTTGTGTTAAACATACATCCTTTAGTTAAGACAGGCTAACTTGACCAGTTCTACCTAATTGGGGCTACGTGAGTTTGAATATGTGCCTTTAACATCATACGGGGAGATTTCATAACTTTACTCAGTGTTGCGACATTCATTTCAAGATATTATTGACCTGTGAGTTTAGTTTTCAAATGATACCTCCCAAGGCATATTTTGTACAAAGATTATTACAGTAGTGCTTAGGGTGTGAATACAGAAATGTTTGGTCACAATAGCATCAAAATATGTTTACTTGATGTTTAGGGTTGATTTTAGTGTCCAGTTTTGTTAGTGCTGAGCAACTCTTATAGCCTTGGCTCTTTTTTATAGTGGGAGTGGCAGTGACTGCTATAAGCAAGTCCCTGTGTGCTCTGCATTAAACTGGATCTAAATACCTGGTTTGTGTGGCAGACAGGTAATCTTACAAGTTTCATTAATTTTCTAAAATGGAGGCTTTTATTGAATTACACTTGAAATTAAAGAGCAATTAATACAGCATCCCGTGTGGTGTTCTGTTAAATTCAGCTTAATTTACAGCAACCTAGACTTTCAATATTTGCATGTGCGAGATTTTTTCATTGACAGTGCATAATTGTATAATGGAAGTTAAGAAATGGGAAGCTGAAGGTTTGACAGTGTGGAGGGCATTTTGTGGCTTTGTCCCCTAGGTAGGTTGGTTATGGGAAAGGGATTGAGATTGTGGGATAAGCTCATTAATATTTCTGTTAAAATGGTTTCCAGTGAAATAGTTAAATTTAGATATTTTGGCACTATTCCCATGTGAACATCTAGTACAATAAATTAATGGATTCTATAAGAGCTACAATATATTTCCTTTTATGGTATAGTAGTTCAAATTTTACATGCTCAGTGCTATTACTGTGAACACTAAATTTCATGGATTTTTACTTTATAGATATATTATTTTGTTAACTCAGATTTGCACTTCTGGACACAAGTTTACTAAATATTTTTCTCCCAGATTAATAGAAGATGGCCAGTTTGAAATAGTAACAGGAGGATGGGTCATGCCTGATGAAGCTTCTCCTCATTACTTTGCTTTAATTGACCAGCTGATAGAAGGACATCAGTGGCTGGAGAAGACTCTAGGTATATATATGTAATTTTTGTCCCCCAACTTGATGTTTTAAACTTAAAAACTGACAAAGAACTAAGTCAGCAAGTGTTGTACAATGTTTTGATGACTGACTATAAGTAGGCATCAGTGCAAGCTAAACTATTTTCAGACAAATCTGTGCAAAGATAGTTACATTTTTGCTGAGTTTATGATTCTGAAAGCCTAAATGTGAGGAATATTGTTCATGTCTACTCTGTTAAGACAGCCATAATTCTGAAAAGTGACTTCAGACCTGATTCACAATTTCTGAATTGGCAGTCAGTGACATTGCGTGGGTGCAGTGGTCTGCCTATACCTTGTAAATTGCAGGATTGGCACCTGTATTTGTGATGCTCGTTTGCGAATATAGGTTCCCAGGGTAAGAGCAGTTAAACTATTTTCCATTCTATTATTTTTTCTGTCTTGATCTGTGGAAGAAACTTATTACTTAAGCATAATAAATGAGGAATAAAATTTGCTTTAATATAGCACTGTGAACCCATGGTTTCATGAAGGAATTGGGAATCACCAGTATTGTCTCTGCCAACTTTTCAAAATTCATGAATCAGGTCCAAAATATGAGATTTTCAAAATAATAAGCGTGGGTCCTTTTTATTTGCTATCTCGTTTTTGAGCTTACAGCATTCACATTTTCCACCTTTTCTCTCTAGAAGTAGGGGCCAGATGCTTACTACTACTTTTTCAATGAAAGCTGAGATTTTTGTATAATTCTAATTGATTAATGGGGTTTTAAGTAAAATATGAAATATTGTGACACAACAAAAATGCAAGAGACAGCAATAGTGGAAATACTATAGACTCTATTGTACAGGTTTTTATTAAGGGCAAGAGATTGGCCTACTTGTAATTATATATGTATATGCTTCATTTATATTTATACTTTTTTTTTTTTTAATTTGGACTTTGTAATGATCAAAGTGTCTTAAGCAGACTTGTTTTCTTTCTTTCTTTCATTTATCTACTTAAACTCTTTGTTAGAGGATGTTGTGAAGACCAAGACTATAACAGGGTTCAAAAAAGAACGAGATAAGTAAGTTCATGGAGGATAGGTTCATCAATGGCTATTAGCCAGGATGGACAGGGATGCAAAACCATGCTCTGAAGTGTCCACAGGCTCTGTTTGCCAGAAGCTGGGAATGGTCAACAGAGGATGGATCACTTGATGATTACCTGTTCTGTTCATTCTCTGTGAAGCACCTGGCATTGGCCACTGTTCAAAGACAGGATACTGGGCTAGATGGACCTGTGATCTGACCCAGTATGGCCGTTCTTGTGTTCTTAAACTAAGTGCTTTTCACCACTTGACTTCTCTGAACACTGGGTTGAATAATATGAGTGTATTACTTTCTTTGAAATGAGAAATAAGTAAGAAAGACACAAACTTCTGACCTATTCTGCTGCTCAACAGGAGTAAAACCGAAGTCTGGTTGGGCCATCGATCCCTTTGGGCATTCGCCAACAATGACTTACCTTCTGAAACGCTCAGGATTTTCCAACATGCTTATACAGAGAGTTCATTACTCGGTTAAAAAATATTTTGCAACCCAGAAGACACTAGAATTTTTTTGGAGACAGAACTGGGGTATGTATTGTTTTCTTGGTATCACTCTGTCATTTGTTGCTTTATACCTCCTGAGAATTGGAAATAGGCATTGAATAAACAGTTGTGAAAACCTCTACAGCAAACAGATTACCTAGTGCAGAATGTATTAAGTAATTAAAAGTAGGGCTAGTCAAAATTTTAATATTTTACTGGTGCAAAGAACATTTTTAAAGAAAGGAACACATTTCATTGTGTTCAAAATTTTGATTTTTTTTCAGAATTTTCTTCTTTTCTGACAAAAATGAGAAAAAGACAAATGTCATTTAATTTTGAATTTAAAATATTAATTTTGTTTTTTCTCCTGTCTTATTTTTCTACATTCTTTCCCTCTGGAAAAATGGGTGGAGAAAAGTGGGTTTTTTTAAGTTACTTTCTCTCACATTTTAAAACAAAGCAAATGTTTTCCCCTTGTTTTCAGAGGGCGGGAAGAAGTAAAAAGCGGGAAACTTTTTTTCTTCCCCTTCTCTCTCTATTTTGCTTTCTCTTCTTACTTTTTTCAGTTGGGGAAGGAAAAAAAAAAAGGGGAAAAGAGGGAAGAGTAGAGTAAGGGTGCAGAGAGAGAGAGAGAGTTTTTTCTTACAACAAAAATTTCAACAAAATTTTTCAGGTATTTTGCTGAGATTTGAAGGTGTAGAAGGATATGATTCTTCCATTTGTTTTTAATTTTGTCAAGCAGGACTTAAGAATAATTAATCTTCTCAAACAGAATTTTACTAAGCAGGATTCTTCAGAGTAATTAATCTTCTCAGACAGTTGGGGTGGTAGAATTAGAATGCAAAGGATAAAGTTTAATCTAGTACATCAGAATTGTTAAGTGAGTATTCAGGTCCCCTTTAATAACCAAAAAAACACAAAAAAAACTTTAGTCTCATTAACAGCTCTAGCCAAACAAACCCTATTCAAAAATTCAAGCAGGATATAGATCAGGTTTAAAGGTTAAGTATCCAGTATAGTAAGTAAATGTCAGCAGATGGATATTGGCTAGAAATGTATATTCTGTTTTTGTATATGTTTTTTCACCATGCTCATTACATAGTGTGAGTGCTTTCCAGTCGTGCATTAAGCAGCATGACTAAAATCTGTCATGTATTAGTTCATTCATTCTTTCCCCAGGGGGAGAAGTGTGTGTAGTGGGATGTTTTTGTTTCAGAATTTTAAAAAATAATTAACATTGCTATTTGTCGGATTTAGAGTAGACCTCGTCAAAAACATGCACCTTTCACGTAAAACGGAGGCTGGTGAGGTTTGTAATGGTCATTAGTTCCTGTGGGAGTTTATTCCACAGTTTTGGTTTGGCTTGGCTCCAGAGAAAGTTCCGTGTACTGCATGAGCTAACTTTACCCTTATTGTTGAAAGTTCCATTGTGCCAGAGGAGTGACGTTGTTAAACAGTCTTCATCCTGGAGTAATTTTTGTTGTTAAACTTATTTTTTGTGTATGCTGCTCAATTTCTAACTTGACATAGCTTTTCTAAATGGTAGTCAAAATAAACACCGATGATATGGTTAGTGTCCTAGGGTTTGGGTTCGCATCAGAGTATTCTAGTCTTTCAGAACTGAAGTCACCTTTAATTCTTCCTGTAAATTATTTTTAAAAAAATGGTTTGGGCCCTTTTTGTTTGATAGATAAAACACTTTTCTGGCTTTCTTTTTTTTTTGTCTTATTTTTGCTGTTTTATCTTAAAAACATCAGGAATGTTGCATATTTTCTTCCCTAGAATTGCAAAGGATTTCTTGGGGATATCTGAGTATATGTATTGTGAATACCAGGACCTCAATTGAAGGTGTCATATCTTTTTGTCAGGCATTGGAGTTAAATAGGTACTAAGAAGACCCCTGCTGCAAAAATCAAAATCTCTTATCTCACTTGCTCAGTTTTCAGTCTCTTGTGTTGTCGTAACTTCATTAACTCTCCAGTAGTTTTCAAGTGTAACCAAGACCTGAAGGTAAAAATCAAACACTTTTTTGACAAAACTTTCAGGTCTTTTTTTCACATCCATAAAGAAGTAAAAAGCCGATTCCCACCCCCATTTTTCAGCTCACCTAAAAAGCTGATCGCCTGCAGACTTAAAAATATTAATTGAGCACCCTTTGCCTAATATTAGATATCCTGAATGGATATGAATCGCATGGAGAGTGGGAAATTAGATTTGAGTGGATAAGAGATCATAAGGTCTTAACAAATCTGAAATTAAGACTGAACAAATTCACCATGAAAAAGTAGCTAACTCTTAACAATCTAGTACATAATCTATTAAGCATATTTCTTGGTAAAATCCTATGAAATATTAAATGTTGTTAAAAATTATTTACATGCTAACTTTAAAGCTTGTATTAGTTTTACATAAATTGACTACCAAAAGTTGGCAGAGGACCCTAGGGTGTTAGTGTTTATTTATTGATCAAGATTGGGACTCCAGTGTAGTAGTATGCTGAGAAATAAGACTCAGCCCCAATCAGTTTACAGTCTAATAACGCAGAAGTATTAAAAGCATAACATTAGTATGTAATATAATTATATCGCCTTCCACCTGATAATAAATAGAAATCTAAATCTGTAATGTGTCCCTACTTTAGATGACTATCATCAGCATTGATTTTTATACCATTATCGTAATCCCAGCCAAGCGGATATTGCTTATTTGATAGATGGGTAAAGGGCCATGGGAGAGCCAACTGCGTTGTGGTTTGCTCCTTCAATTAGGATGTTTTGAATGATGATTTTTAAAAAAAAGAGGTGCCTCAAAACAAGTGGAGACATGGTCCCTGTCCAGAAAAGTTTACAAATTAAATTCTGCATGTCTGGCAAGTGTAAAGTGTAATAAAGGGGAAAATTGAAAGAAGGGTGACAATTACGATTTTTATTCCTCCCTCCCCCCCAAAAATCTTGAATTTTTTGATATTTATATTTGTTTCTTTTCCCTTGCTTTTAATAGACAAAATGGCAGATCTGAATATTTAGGAGAGCTTGAATGAGGGAGGTGGTTAGGCAAATAAATTTGGGGAGGATGTTCTAAGCAGAATGTGCAGCATTTAAGAGATATGTGGAAGTAGACCCATTGAAGTGAATGTTCCTGTTCATTTGCTTGGCAGTAGTCTCCTGTTGCTTTAAGCACATGTATGTGTCTTTGCAAGGTAAGGACCTTGAGGCTGTACATTTTAATTCAAATAATTTAACACTCCTTTTAGACATTTTTTCTTTTTGGGTTTCAGTGTAGAACTCCTCCAATTCCACTTCCCATATGCATGGTGATCTGATGTTTTGATTTACTAGAGTCAGTTCTGAGTGGATAAGAGTGTCTTTCTCTTGTCAGGTTATATTGAAAACCAGGCCCCAACCGGGTTGCTGGTTGGTTGGCTTCCCCTCACTCTTCACTCATTGTCTCCACCCTCTACAGTGTCCCTCTTCCTACAGTACAGCAGTTCATGTCACAGCAACCTTTATTCTTAGCTGCAGGACCACACCCCTCTTCCTGTCCTCTCTACTGAATTATTCATATATTTAAAGTGCAAATGAGTGGGAAGCTCCAAACTCTGGTGCAAAATTATCTGGTGAGTTCTTGTGTTTGGAAGTTTTCAGGTATATTGAAAGCATAGGACATAAATAGATGGTACACAAAGATAGATGGGCTTTACAGTCAGCAATCTGCTCTACCTGTTGCTTCCTATGACTAAGCTCACATTGCATCCAGATTCTGCAGATGTCAAAATTTCTAGTTGACTTACATTATACCCAACTACCAAACACAATCCTAGTATTTAATATCTAATCAAAGGATTGTAAATGTTGACAGTTTAAGAAAATCATGATAGTAATTCTTGCTTAATTGACTTTTTATCAGTATCTTCTTATAGTAATTTCCTGATGCTATTTTACTTAAAACCTCTTCAAGAGAAAACCCTGAGATGCCCACTAAAATTTTAAATTCTTATTTTAAAAGAGAATCTGACCTGTTGAAAAATGTACTTCTGTCTTATTTGAGCTAAATAAATGATTTCTCCATGCAAATTAATAACAATGGGAATTCTTTTGGTTAAGCACCACTGAAAAATTGAATGATAAAAACATATAGAAGAATGGATTTTGTCTGTTACAGAATTTAGGAAAATTCAATTACAATTAATTATTCATTGAGGTATTGTCTTTAAGATAACTTAATCATTAGAGACTTGATCCTACATTAATTAAAGTCAATGGCAAAACTCCCGGTGACTTAAATGATGCAGAGTCAGGGTCCAGATCTCCAAAATGGCACTGTATTTTAAGCTGGCATATTAAAAGCACTCCTGGATTAGGCCCAGACAATTAATTTAGTTTAGACAATGAAATATGGCTTTGTTTTATAGATGTATTCTGTTAATGTACTTTTAGATTTGGGATCCAGTACAGATATCCTTTGCCACATGATGCCTTTCTACAGCTATGACGTTCCTCATACTTGTGGTCCAGATCCTAAAATCTGTTGCCAGTTTGATTTTAAGCGTCTTCCTGGAGGAAGAGTAAGTTGTCCCTGGAGAGTTCCTCCTGAGGCCATTCATACTGGGAATGTTCAGCACAGGTACAGTACTGAAAGTATTGTGGAATTCAGTAATTTGAAAGTGTTTTTGTACTTGTTGAAGGCGATGCTTATTAACATCACAACTTGCTTGATTTAGTGTTTAAAAAAGACGATTGTCATAGGAGAAATAATTTTTATTACATATGCACTGTATGTGTGTCAATTCCCAAAACAGTTGCTAGTACAATTTATGAAAATGGTAACTGTAAGAGAAATTAAAATTAATACACTGAGCTAGTGTGTTAATTCTGCAGTTCCTGATAAACAAGTCTACAACTTTTGGGTCAGTTACATTCTATGAGTACCAGGAAGAGGTACAAACAATTTGCTTGTCACACTGTTTGGTCATATCTGTTTTTCAAATTCTGTACTATCAGGCACCAGAATGACATCAGGATCTCTCTGGGTTTGTCTACACTCCAACAAAAGACCAGTGACACTGAGTCTCAGAGCCTGGGTCAATTGACTCAGGCTTGTGGGGCTAAAACAACAGGGTTGCTGTTCGGGCTCAGAAACTCTGAGAGAGGATGGTCTCGCACTTCAGGCTGGAGCCCAAGTCCATATGTCTACACTGCTACTTTTAGCCATGTGAGCCTGCGTCAAATGACCTGGGTTCTGAGATTCAGCGCCATGGGTTTTTCTTTGCAGTGTAGATACACCCTCTGAGGGAGAGCAGTGGGAGCATACAGTGTATCTTTGCATATAACTCCCACATCTAATCCAATTAATTTAAAACAAAACTAAATATTCCCATAAGAGAAAAAAATGTTTAAATAGTTATGCTGATAGTACATATCAATAATGTAAGCTGAAAAAAATTGAATGTTTATAAAATCAAAAGATTAGAAAAAACAGAATTCAGAGTTTAGGCAAATATAACAGAAATCAACACTTGAATGTATGGAAGTGTACATTTGGTACTGTGCTGCCAGGGAGCCAGAAGGGATGGAGGTGGGGGGCCTCAGAGGTGGAGTGAAGTATGGTTCCATTACACAGATATTTCTCGTGGCCAACAGATCTGAGATTTGGTGGGTTTTGCCCTGATTATTCTTCAGTGTATGGGTATTCCATCCTCCCTATGCTATAGAAACCCATTGACAATCTGTGCAACTGATTGAGAAAGAAATTGGAGAGGGAAGACAGAAAAGAAGAGGGGCCAAGGGAAAATCCCTCGCTTATTAACCTATTTTTTTCCATATCACATAAGTAGCTTTGGACAAATGATCACAAATATGGACAAACTGTTGTCTGGCCTCAGAGTGCACATGTAAAATTTGAACCACAAATGAGCTTCTTTTGGAATTCCTTTTCTTCTATACTGCCAGTTGCTGTAGTTTGTAAGTGATAGGATACCTATTTCTCTGAGGAGAGGACCTTGTGTACCCTAGATTCAGAGTACTCTGTCTGACCTCACAAGAGGTGTTGGTTCAGGCAAGGCAGTTCAACATTTTCAGTCTGGCTAATGACAAACTATAAAATGGGCCGCAGGCAAGAAAATGTTGATGATACTAGGTGGGTTATGTTAGTCTCCGCAGACCACGTAACTCAATGACTGCAGTTTATTCATTCATGATTTAAAACTACCTATTAATGAGAACACTAACAGAAAACTTATTCTAAGTAAAATCAGTTTATATAGCTAAAAAAAAGAAACAACTTATTAAAATTTTTACAGATTTTGGATATATTGGAAAAATATTTGTAACTCATAGAAACTTTCACATAACATTTAACCCCCCACTCCCCAAATTTTAAGTGTTAATGGTTTGGAAACCATTCTAAATGTGTACATGCTGCAACCTCTTTGAGAACATGCATTAAAAGTAGGTAAGTTGTTGTTGTTTTAAAAATCTTTAGATTTATAGTTTCTCTAAAATCTTTGGCTACTGTTGGCATGTAATTAACGTAACTGCAGTATTGACAGTATTTCTTATATTAAATTTACCTAGGTAACTTTAATTAGAAAAAAAGCAGTACTGAAAAGATTTTAATGGCAATCATCGTTATTTAAAGAAGACTTACAAATTTTATGAACACTTTCACTAGCTCAGGTGCTAAACTTATTTATCCACTATTTAATATGTTGCTATTAGGGAGGAAAAATTTTTTTTTTTTTTTTATAATCACAAGTAAGAAGACAAGTAGAATTTTGCAAGGCTAGTTGTAGGGTGTATTATAGAATATATTTGACATTTGTCGTCTTGTCAAGTGATTACTTTTCTATATTCTAAATTTTATAATTTTCTTCTTCCAAGGGCTTGGATGATTTTAGATCAGTACAGAAAGAAGTCAAAGCTTTTCCGTACTAAAGTTCTGTTGGCTCCATTAGGGGATGATTTCCGCTACAGTGAGAGCTCAGAATGGGATCAGCAGTACCAGAATTATCAAAAGCTTTTTGATTTTATGAACTCTCATCCTGAGTTACATGTTAAGGTAAACTGCATATTTATTTTTTCAAATAGTTGTAGTCCTGCACTAACATCAATGAGCCCTAATTTAAACTTTTTGTGTACTCCTATTTCATTTGTTAGCACCTTCTGATATACTGAGATTTTGTATGAATTTGTTGTGCATCATGGAGAAAGCTAGTTAAATGCTACTATAGCTTAACTGAAACTCTTGGTGTATAAGGAAGGTAGTACTGATCAAGTTTTATAGTTCGGCTTGGCAGGATTTGATTTTAATCAATAACTGTCAGTAAACAGAGATTATTTTTTCCAACAGTCGGCATGCCTGCATGGATGATTGTCACTGGCCTTAGCAGCCCTCTGCAGCTCTCTTCTCAGGGCAGAGAGTAAGCAGGTCCATGATAGTGGTTCTACAGATTAATTGCACTGCTTCAGGGTCGGGTGACACTCAATCCTTGCAGGCTCAAGCTTCAGGGGAAGGCTGCAATCCTGGTGAGGCAGTGCAGAGACCCCTGGTCATGACTTGCAGGAGGAAGAGGGTGAGCTCCCTGCCATGGGGAGACCACAATATTGCTGAGTGGCTCTTGTGGCAGTGCAGGGAGACTTCCGCAACTCTGCTGTCATGGCTCTGCTCGCTCACTCACCACAGCCAGGCATGTGGGAGCTGTTCTTGGGCAGCAACTGTTCAACAGTGGGTTGGCCTCCCATACAGCTCGGGGCTCATCCTCTTTCTTACAGTCCTGGCCAGCAGCTTTGCTTCGCGAACCAGGATGATCACTGCCTCCCCTGCACCTTGTGCCGTGGTATCTTGGGCCCCGGCAGACCCGCTGTCAGCACTACCCTAACCCCACTCATCCCACAACTGTAAAAATAAAATTTAAGGACTTTTCTTCTATTTTTAAATAAAAATGTATAGTTCAGCTGATAGATGAGTTTGAATGTACTTGAGGTTAATGACAAGCCAGACTAACTTTATTTTTTTCCTTCCAAGGCTTGAAATTATTCTATATATAGCACCAGGTAAGAAATATAAACAATGGCCACAGTGGTTTACTTTAAACAATAGCCTTTACGTTTAAGGGAGTTTCTTACTTCTCTTGTTGCTTTGAGTAGCTTCCAGTTCTTCTTTGAGTCGTGTCTCTATGGGTGCTCCACTGTAGGTGTGCTTCCATCTCTGCGTTGCTGATTGGAGAGCTTTTGTAGCAGTGTCCATTAGGCCTGCACAGGCGCTATCCCTCCTTGTGTCCTGCCACGAGGCTAGCCAGCAATGGTGGGCTAACCCCCCACAGTTCCTTCTCAACTGCCACGGCTAGAGACAAAGCCCTTAGTAGTGCGATCGTTAGCTTGCTTTAGCATTTATGGGGGGGGGGGATAGCTCAGTGGTTTGAGCATTGGCCTGCTAAACCCAGGGTTGTGAGTTCAATCCTGGAGGGGGCCATTTAGGGATCTGGGGCAAAATTGGTACTTGGTCCTGCTAGTGAAGGCAGGGGACTGGACTCAATGACCTTTCAAGGTCCCTTCCAGTTCTATGAGATAGGTATATCTCGATATATATTTATTTATTAGTAGTTAGTCGTCTTAGATGTAGTTTTTTCTCTTTATTTTCTCTTCAAAAAAAAACAAAAAAACTTGACCCCCCTTTTTTTAATTGGGGACCCCTTCTCCCAATGGGGTATGCCTGGCTTCTTGAAGCCCAGTGAGTGCCTGTCTTGCAAAGGGGCCGTCCTTGCTGCATATGCTGCCTTGGGGAAGGCCATGTTACACAGAAGTGTGGTCTCTTCCAACAACTCAGAGCCAGGTCTTGAAAGGGCAGGGAGTTAAGACAGAAGATCATCTTCATGAAGGCAGCCCTCCAACCTTCTCTGGATCCATGCCAGGCATCACCCAAAAGTGCAAGTTTTCTCCACAGCCCGCAAAATCCTAGGACTGTGGGTTGAAGAAACCAGCTGCAGATCCCTCTCATAAGTTATCAAAAAAGAGAGCGTTGAGTCCCCCAGAGTGAGCCCCGAGCTAGCCGTAAAAGATCTCCTGCATGCTTGGTATCATTGGCACTGAGACAATCCAAGCCTGGTACCCATGGCTTACGAAGATCTAGAGTGGCAGGTATTGTCGATACACCTAAGGACCTGATGGGCACATGCACCAAGCCAACAGTATCCAGTGGAAAAAGATTGGAGCAGAGAGCGCTCCAGTAAGAAGACACTTCCAGTACATGCTGTACTTTTGGCACTGCCATCAGTGCCCCATCCAGCATCCTTGACTCTCTCCATGGCACCGCCAGAATTCTGGCACTCGAGAACTCAGGCTATCTGATATACCAGAGTCTCCTCTTCTTGGCATTGGGACTTCAGTACGAAGTCTTCTCCAAGTGTGGGAGTTTTCTCCGGTACCCTGCCATGCACCTCCACTTTCTAGTAGCAAATCAGAGAGCGAGCCAGAGGAAGTCATCTCCTACCACTCCTCCAAAGATCCCTATGATGCCTGTTATCAAGGGGCTCCTCGGGCATACCCTCAGCCTGCCCCACCACTGACATGATACGGCCAGCCATGGGTACCACCACTGGGCTCTATCCCACCGCTCTGGTGGCCCTACTGGGATCCCTGGGCAGCATATTGCCCCCACACTTCTTGGGCTTTCAGCCTCACCCATGAGCCCCTGAGACATTCTCCCTTGGCTGTGGTATCCAGAACCTCCAGAGGAGATTATAGAGGAACAGGAGGGTGGAATGGAGGAAGAGGTTACTCCAAGAACCAACATATCTTCCTCCAGATGAGGCAGTCATTCTTAGCTGATGATTTCTGGCTCTTCCAGGTCTTGGCAAAAGGGTTGCAGATACCCCTGGAGGATGTCAAGGACACTTACCACAAACTCCTTGAACCTCCTATACTCCTCCCCCTCCTCCAGAATAGTCCTCCCCATCAATGAGGCTCTCCTTGACCCCACAAAAACTATGTCAAATCCCAGCATTGGCAATGCCTACTTGTAAATGGGTCTATAAAAAATATTACATCCTGCCTAGGAATATCTTCTTTCTGACCCCCCTCGCCCCCGACTCCATCGTTGTGGACATGGTAAAATCCCGCAGCCGGCAGCACCGAATGAGATCCATCCCCCCATGATAAGGATTGGAAATGCTTGGACCGCTTCGGGAGAAATGCCTACTCCTCTGCCACTTTGCAGTTTTGAATAACAAATGATCAAGTCTTAATGACAAATTATGACAATGTTAACTATTCGAAACTCAACAGCTTTATTGATCAGCTCCCAGTCACAGCATGATCAGTTCCAAACTATTGTCCAGGAAGAACAACTAGTAGTCAAAACAATGCTCCAGTCAGCCCTTGATGCAACTGATAAAGCATCCCAGTCCATCTCCACGGCGGTGGTTGTGACATGCGTCATGGTTACACCTTTTGGGCTTCCCTAAAGAGATGCAGACAACTGTTGAAGACCTTTCTTTTGAAGGCACCAAGTTGTTTGCTGAAAAGACTGAGGCATCCCTCCATGCTGTTAGGACAGTGGTTCCCAAACTTGTTCCACTGCTTGTGCAGGGAAAGCCCCTGGCAGGCCGGGCCGGTTTGTTTACCTGCCGCATCCGCAGGTTCGGCCGATCGTGGCTCCCAGTGGCCGCGGTTTGCTGCTCCAGGCCAATGGGAGCCACTGGAAGTGGCACGGGCTGAGGGACGTACTGGCCGCCGCTTCCAGCAGCTCCCATTGGCCTGGAGCAGCGAACCGCGGCCACTGGGAGCTGCAATCTGCTGAACCTGCAGATGCGGCAGGTAAACAAACTGGCCTGGCCCGCCAGGGGCTTTCCCTGTACAAGCGGCGGAACAAGTTTGGGAACCACTGTGTTAGGGATTCATTAGAGATGTATACACCCAGACAAAAGAGAAATTTTAGTCAGCCGGGTCAACATAAATCCCGTACCTCTCACTACCTGACTCAATGCTTTTATGAACCTCAAAGAAAGAAATCTAGGTTGTCCAGATGCAAACCATCAGGTCCACAGTCTTCCATGTCGCAACCTTCCACCTCAAAACACCAAGTTTGACATGTTGGTCGAGGTGTTGACAGACCACTTCCCTCAATCACTAAAGTTGACCATTCTATCCCATCCATTTGGCTACTGCCTTGTCACGTTCTGCAGCACTTGGGAATACATAACATCAGACTGATGGGTCTTGGAGATTTTTTTTTAACTTTATCCTCCCTCCCCCCCCGCCACCTCAACATCCTTCCTCATCCCTCTTTAGGAACTCTTCTCACGAGAGTTTACTATGACAAGAGATTGCCTACTCCAGTTAGGAGCCATGGATCCAGTACCTCAACATCTATGAGGCAAAGTTTTTTTTACTGTCACTATTTCCTAATGCTCTAGGAGAAGGGAGTTTGGAGACCCATGCTAGATCTCTGAGCACTCAAAACGTTTGTCACAGCTCAAAAATTCAAGAAGGTCACTCTAGCAATGTTTATTCCAGCATTGGAATAGGAAACCGGGCTATCGACTCTGAGGGTATTCTCCAAGGTTCTGTCAATAGTGGCCACTCACATACCATCCCAGGGTTCATGGTCTACCCGTACTTGGATGATTTCCTCCTCAGAGCCCGCTACTTCAATGAGGCTTGCTGGGTTATCAAAACCACAATAGATTTGTTCACAGAACTGGGCTTATAGATCAACAGCCAGAAATCTACTCTCACCCTAGTACAGTGCCTGGAATTCATAGGGGCCGACTTTGACTTGTTACAGGCCAAAGCGCTCCTACCCCACCACAAGTTCCTCTCCTTGACCATACTTAGAGACAGTACAAAAGAACCCCCAAATATCAGCCAGCCACTGCCTCCAACTCTTGGGGCATATGGCAGCTGGTGCAGCGGGGATACCTCATGCCAGGCTTCACATGCGGTGTCTCCAGATGTGGTTCAGCTTGATGTACTGACCAGAGAGAGGCCAGACAAATCTCTGTTGCTGCCCACCAAGGTCAAAAGCTCCCCGGACTGGTGGAAAAACCCAGCAAATGTTTG